CGATTATTTATGACTTTGATTCCTCTATTGCTTCCACTGTTTCTTCAAAAGAAACTTTACGGTATTAAATGCACCAGCCCAACCTCAATAAGTCGAGAATAATAAGTCCTACGTATAATTACTAAGTTGGAAGAGAGGGATTGTGTGTATCCAGGACACGGGACACTGTATTAAGAAGATTAGTGGGAACCCTATTACTTAATCACGTTTTTTGTTTTTTATTTTAAAGTCCTAAGCCAAAGCTATAGCTCCACTATTGGTACAATACTGGTGGAGCCAGTGGGGTTCTCTGCGTACATGCCCAACTCATTCCAACCGTGGGAACCTCAACAAAAGTAGATGAAGTTAACAACAAACTTAAATCAAAACTAAAATCAAAGCGTAAATCAAATTTTTTTTTTTAGAAGAATTTCATATGTGGTCCAGATCCCGTACTTAATAATGTATTAGTGTGCTTGTAACATCAGGAGTTTTCTGTTAGGATTAGATACAAATAACTTACATCTGACTTAATGAACTCCACAGGCATCCCGTGATACTTATTACAGGTGCGCTTTGAGTTCTTAGTGTCGCCGGATCAATTGGTGTTGGTATACAGCAGAGCAAGTCCAGAATAAATCAGTTAATTAATGAAATCTAGAAAATGAAGATCTCTTACTTCTCGCTGTTTACATAGGGAATTGTAATTGTCAGCGCCGATCAGAACAATCTATGTTGCTAAGCAACCATATCTAGACCGCAACATTGATAGCCCCCATAGCTGGCTAGGCCCTATATTCCATCCCTACCGTACTGGCGCAGACAGTACAAATCTCTTTAAAAAAAAAGGGATCAGGACAAGTTGAAAAGATGATGCAAAGGAAGGATATAACCTTGAAGGGAGTGAAATTCCGAATTTTGGCAAGCAGTTTTACGAACTGAGCTTTGTGCGCGCCAAGACTTCGCTTGCGAGGGTGCAGCTGACAATATAAACACAAATCGACGATGGGAGATATTGTGGTCCGCCTCCTGGTGGTGTTCTCTGGTATGGTTTGAGTAGCCTGGGCACCTACTCCACTTGGGAAGGAGACACCTCAGATCACATATCGCGCGGAGAAAAGTTGATGGATGATGGAGGCATGTCTGGATAACTCAGGGTTTTTGAGACGTTCCCCTGGGTGGGTATTCACGGATGAGGGTTGACTTGGGGTGAAGAAAAAGCCACCATAACTTCGCAGTGGTACTTGCAAATGAAATCTGAGGCATGAGTGGTCAACTTTTAAATTGAGTCATCTGTCATGTACTTTTCTTTGATATTGTGTCATAGCTAGATAGCTGCATACGCAATTAAAATCTGATGCAAAAAAAAAAAAAAGACAGTACAAACACAAGGGATTATTCCCGTAACACTTAGTCACCAAAGCCACTTCGCAACCCCTACGCTTGAACGCTCAGTCATGCTAAAGTGTCAGATGAGTCTTGACAGAGCGTGATTGCTGGCTGATAGCTTAGCCTAACTTCTTTTGTGCCGTCCAGGACGCTGGGGAGTGTCGATGACCATGAATTAAAAAAAAATACTAAAAAATGATTAAAGAAAGAGTGCCGTTGATTCATCGACATTAGAAGCCCTGAGGATCCAAGATTGACAGACCTCTAGATTAGTACGAGGCTCTCATAAATTGTAATGCTTATGTAATGTTGTTCACGTTGGAGTCCGGGCGCAAGATTAGGAATACTGTACTTATATAGACGATACCCTGTATTAATAGAAAACCAAGTTACATCTAGTCTCAAGCTCTACTATACATGTTAGTAGTTTGGAGCCACGAGACACCCGTAACCTACGCCATCTTAAAGCTAAGCTTATCTCACTTATCACACATACTAATCCATCAGGAACCTCAGCCCTCCTGGCTAATCAGCCGAAATCTAGGTCTTGGCGCCCACAAATTTTCCAAAGTTGAAAACCCCTCGAAGATGTCAGTCCAGGCTGTTGAAATTGGCGCTACTTGGCAATGAAGAGTCGCATTAATAGGGAACGTAATAAGGTTCTATTATTACTAGCCACATTCATGACGACTCATACATTGACCAGCCTCCCAATTATTTAGCATAAAAAAGTGAATCGTGTTCTTCGCTTAGATGTTGTAATTAGTTTAAAATAGCGCTCTGATATTAAGTGGGTTTTATCAACAACTCTCCACTATAGTTCTCAGACTCGTCAATCTCCCAACTCGCTTCACTGGGAGATATTAAATACAAGCCTAACAGCTTACGCTTCTCTATACAACTTCCTTTACAATATGAGGTATGTTCGCTCACACAAACAGTCGACCCTCCTCCATAAGTACCCACCAAAGGGAAATTCAATCCTTTGTCATCCATGCATACCAGCGCCGCGAGAAAAGTGTTTGTGTTTTGCCGGATTTGAACCAGCGATCTAGTGTCTAGAGTGGGATATGTGTCCAAGCTACCTAGACTCTACTTGGTAGACCGGCCAAGACGGTGTACCACTGCACTATCCAACCTTGGCAGCTTTTATAGTGTCGCCTGCACTCTCGCAGCCGAAGACTTGGCACGCACAAAGCTCAATTTATAAAAACTCCTTTCCGAGACTCATATTCCACGCCCGTCGAGACTGTATCCATCCCCTGCAACATCTTATCAATTTGTCCTAATCCCTCTCACATTCCTCCCAAGGAACTGTCATCCAGATTTGTGCGCCACGCTTTGCTTCCTCCGTCGGGTATAAACATCGGCGTGGGCGTGTATTTGGTGACCGGCTGAGGCCAGAGAAAGTCGACGAGAGGTGTGTTCATTGAAACAAGGATGTACTAGGTCGTACTTGTAGACTTGATGAAACTTAGTTGAGAATCGGACACTTTGGGAGTGAAAGATTGATATGGTGGAGTATATTGAATGATTGCCTCGTGGGCCAACTTGTTCGGTGTTGCGAAATTTGACTGAGTTCGGCTCTGAGAGAATATTTCACTCCCAGGTTCGTGGAGGACACTTCGTAAAGGTGTTCAGTCTTGCCATCCAGTCGACCCTCCTACACGGGTACCTACCAAAGTGACATTTCAAAACCTTTGATTGTACAAGAATACCTTCATCTTCCATTCACGCCAGCACCACGAAATTAATACTCAGTCACGCCGAATACGAACTAGCCATCTCCTATCGTGGAGGATAAAGATTGAGCACCTATATGCGGTGTCCTCTACGAAACTAGTATTGAAATATCCTCCTGGAGGCAAGTTCAGTCAAATTTCGCAATTCCGAGGAAGTTGGCCCACGAGGTAATGATGAAATACTCCATACCAAATCAAAATTTATCTCCAAGAAAGATTATTTGCCACCATTTCCTCGCCAAGTCTTCAAGGAAGACCTAGTATATCCTCGATTCCATGACTACCTCTTTCGTCAAATCAGTTTCTGGCCTTAAGTAGCCTCCAAATGTATGACCACGACGATATTTATATCCGCAGGAAGGAACAAATCGTGGCGCATAAATTTGAGGCAGATATTCGGTATGTACGTGAGAGATATTAGGATAGATAGACAGGGTGATGCAAACGGTAGATACAATCTTGGAAGGGGATATATTTCAATTTTTCGCAAGAGTTTTTCAAATTGTGCAATGCTCGCAACACGACTTCGATTGCGATAGTGCAGACGACACTGCAAATACTGCCATGGTTGGATGGCTTGGATATATCCCTCTCGAGATCTGAGGCGGCTAGTTCGAATCCGCAAAACACAAACACATTTCTCACGGCGCTGGTGTATACATGGGACGAAGGGTTTAAAATATCCCTTGAATGGGCACTCAAAGAGTAGTGCCGATTGTTTTTGTAACAAGCATACCTCAGTGATATTTGCGAATGAAATCTGAGTGTAAGTATCTCTAACGTCAAAAAAATTGTCCCAACACATAAACATAGCACAGATCATGTATCATAGCTGGATAGCTTAATACGCATTGAATGATGACGGAGAAAACCATTGGGCTAAAAGGCCGGACTAAAAATGCCAAACACTGCTTTAAAACATATTTCTATATTTGTATGTATATATATATTGATTACACAAAAAAAGTCCTAATAGGAACGTTTGATTGAAAGAGAATCTCGTTCAGTGTTATCAAAATTTATCATATCTTTGGGCCCATATCCTCAGTGATAAATATTATCGGGATTTTGAGTGTTTCTAGACATTCGGATAGAGAACCGCAGAATTGGCTAATAGTGTCATATACGTGCACAGATAAATCTTTAGTCAAGGTTGGAATTTTTATTTAATTAGATTTAGATGAAGAAAGTTACATAATGTGTTTCCATAGCGAATCATTAAATATGAAGTTGCTTATTCGGGCTATGCTATATCCGTTGGCACCGTCTCTGTGGAATTGGCCGAAAGTGTCAACGAACCAATTTTGCGAGTATCTGACTTCAAGAATGACCATTACTCTGTTAATCCTATTCATGTAGCTGATCAAATTTACTGATAACACTTCATACGCGTGTGTCCGAGGTTTTTATCGTCTAATCACTTGTGTATACTGTTCGTGAGGGAATTTCAGTGTTTCAGACTTCTCAAGCATGCCTATATCTACCCTCTTTTGATGCCTGAATCTTGTAATACAGGAATGGAGCTGGTCAAGACGTGGTCAGGTCTTTTTGGATTTGAACAGGCAATCACCTACCTCAACTAGACTAGGATGCCACGCTATCAAAAATTACAAGGCATACTAGTAATATCAGGCCCTAGCTAATGGATGTTCAAATTTGGGTTGGTTCATCCTCATAAATCAGCTTATTTTGTATCGTAATTAAATTTCACTCTTAAGTGCCTGCGCTTTTCATTACGCCGTTATCCATATCTGACTGGCTCAGCAGCCAGATACCAGCCGGAATACCTTATACATACATTAGAACAAAATTCTGGAGCAATATTTCACCAGGCTCCTATTTGTTAAACTTAAATTATACTGACTTTAGCCAAAAGACTGAACCAATTTCTTACGAAAGGGATTCTAAGACTAGGCTTGCGACGCCTTCTTCTTCACTACGCACAACTATTTTACTTGTAACCCCAGATTTAGTTGAAAATGCCATTCGAATGTTTGCTGCTATGCGACCGCCAGTGACAGTCTTTCCGAAGAGTTTCAATGTATGAGTGGTCATACTAACTGGGATATCTGATCCTTCTAGCGCTTGGAGGGACAATGTTTGGGCAAGTTGTTCAGTTGCGTCTTGTCATGTTAGTTTATCACGCAAGGAATTTTAGAAACACTTACCTGCGATGCTGCTCATACCACTGAGTTGCAGTGTTTCTTCAGCTTCTTCACCTAAAGCACCTGAAGCACCAATTTGTTCCCAGATATGATTGAAGTTCCCGGCAAATACAGGCATAACGTAATCGCTTCCCATTAGCTCAAGGTCTTCGACTTGATACTCATCATCATATCCGACTTCTTCTGGATCACCTGATATCGGATCAATTTCTTTTGTTGTAAACTTCAGAGTATTGGTGAATGTAAGGACTGGAAAAGAGCCTTTTCCACCAATCTTCTTGAACGAAACATAAACAGTCCCTGCAACATCTGTCTTTAACTTTGTGGCGGAAATGATAAATTCTTCCTCTAATTCATAATCATTTGAGGGTATAGCAACGACAGAAACGTCTTCTAAGAGCGTATCTGGTAGAGTGTTCTTAACATTGTACTGTAACACGATATGTTCCTGAAAAATGTGTTTAACAACGCTAACAACATATTCTGTCTCTGATTCCGTTAATTCGACAGACGATGATGATTTCAAAATGTTTCCGTGCGATCTAATCTCAGGGATACGAAGAAGTTCTTGTTGATATTTCTGGGCCATTGTTGAAGCAGAAACTGCAGCCTCTGAACTAGAGGGTGCGACCTTCTTTGAATTCGTGTTTGGTGCCTTGGTGGACGGCATGATAGAAGTGAAGTTCTTAGAGCGGTCTTCAGCATCAGCCTGTTCCTTAGTAACTAAAGGAATAGTTGAAGTGTCAAATGGCGTCTCAAATACTGTCTTATCGTCGGCAGTGACATATAGTACAAGTTGATGCTCAAATGATTGGAGAGCATATGTTTTGTCTGAACAGTATTAGTAATCTTTGTAATTGATCTTTATGAGCAGACAAACCATTTTTTACGAAGAGGTCGGCGACTTCATTACTTTCAGACATTAATCTTAGATTGAGAGCTGCGCGGTCACGAACTTCGTCATCCACATCATCTAGACATCTAGTAAGCAAGACAGTTACACTTCGCTTTACTTCAGGGTCTTCCTGTCCGACACCAAACCTAGAAAGTGCTGTGACCGCTGCAGCTCTGACGATAGCATTTTCCAAAACAACTCTGTTATAAATATATCGAATATATTTCGTTGGTTGTGAAGTCTTCGGACCTTCTAAGCCAAGTAGGTGGAGTATTCTAACGGCCAACTTTGTAAACTCGCAATCCTCGATAAATTCACATAAATGTGCCAGAGCTTCCTCTTTAGAATCAGGAACAAACTTGATCAAATCAAATATGCTCTCAATGACAGCTCTTTTGAACTCGTATCCACCTTCGTCCCGAAGTATTCCACTAAGAAATGCGAGCATTCCGGCCTGCTTACTAGGAAATTTAAGACAAAGAATCCGGATTGCCTCAACGATTGTTATCTTAAATTCGTCAGTTATGTCCGTCATAAACCCAGAAATCTGTTTCATCAATCGATCCACACTAGTTTCATTTCCAGTTTTCAGAAGAGTAGTGATGGCGTATGTAGCAATCGATCGATTTGTGTTAGATATTAGTAGTTCAATGTCTGGGTTGCATGGCTGAACAGCTTGGGGTTTAACTGATGCAAAATTGTGTAGAATTCGTATTGCTGAAAATTTCGTTACAGCTCTCGGTGAAGATAGAAAAAGTTGTAATACATGGATAGATTGAGTGGCTTCTGTATCAGTGACGTCTCGCATGTCACAAATAGCTTTCGCCGCTTCAATATTAACCATTTCACTCTTGTGCCGGAGCCAGCCATCCAAAAGTTGCATCATTGGTTTCCGGAGTTGCTGATCTTCTTCGGCCAATTGTGCAGCTAACCGAACGAGTGTTACAATGGCAGCAGGACTTTTTACTGCACCAGCAGTTCCAAATTGTTGGACCATCTTAACGAGTGCCATTCTATCATGCATCCTCATTTGATAAAGAAGGCCTATGGCGTGATACTGGGTCATTGTAGAATTATTTACAGGCATTTGAGACCCTGAGGTTGAAAATCCTAGAGAATATCCACCTGAAGATTTTGATGATGTGGCTGCTTCCTGAGTCTCACTTTGCCACCTTCGCACAACATCGCGAGCAATTGGAAGAAGATGGTATGATGAAACAAGTGCGGCAGATGAGACAGAAGGGTTTTTATCGACAATTGCTGTTTTCATAACGCGTTCAATACTTTGAACAGTAGAGGCCTAATTGGGTGAGTCTCTCTGATTTTGAAGCAACAGCATTTCTTGGAACTCACATCAATTATTCGACAAAGCGCACGGATTGCATTAGGCCGATAGATTGCATCAGTACCACCACCAGTATCTTTCATTATTGTGCTCGTGACCATTATTGTATCCTCTGCAGAATCTGCTAGTTCTTTAATGACAAGATGAACCATTTGCCGTAGGCTCGCATCTTTATTTTGGAAGAGTTTTGATATTCCGAAGAAGAGTGTAGTAGCTTCATTTGTAGGAAATTTCTCTCCAGTGTATAGAAGTAAGGCGATCTTTGTGAGAAGTACACGACATCTTCGTGGTTGTATAGGAGAGCTATTGAATAGTCGAGCTGAACATTGTTAACAGGGTCAGGGGAGCTGATTTGAAAGACTGACCTTCCTGGAATACGGAGGTTCTGTCAACTTTCAGGAAAGCCGAATCGCCGTCCTCATCTTTTTTGCCGAAACTCATGTTGGTTGTGATTGAGTATTTGACCACATGTATCGGCGTGAATGATGGGCATATGTGGAGTACGCAACTGCGAACTGGCCTAATCGGGCCAGCCTCAGACTAAGCGATCAAGCGCGCGTCTATGTCAGGAAAGTATTTAATTAGAGCTTGACATCGTTGTATTGGATAATGGATAATTGATTTGAATTGAATTGATTTCATTTGGCCCGTTCAGGTACCCTGTGGGCCCATACAGGAATATTTAGTCATAATATTTACACAAGAGGAAAATAAATTCGATAAAAACCCCCCACAACTGTCTGTCTCGTGTCTATTTGATTACAGAGGTTTCCTACAGGAATCGCGTTGACACTGTACGTTTAGTGTGAATATCGTCCTATCCTTTTCCCGATCTCTCAATCCTTTCGCTGACTGCTGTCTCAACTTCTTCTGCAAGCCGGAACTGTTCAAGCCAGCCGTTTGTAAGTATCCACTATGTAATTCTCTTCATGTCTTCCGGACTGTTCATCATAGCTTCGAAAGACCTATCTTTTGCCCGTTGCAGCACCTCTCCTCTTCTCTTAGCCCATTGAGGACAGGCCATGACCATATGTTTCGCGTTTTGTGACGGATATCCACACTGGCACTGTGGATTTGCCACTCCAGGGACCATTCTTCCATAAAGATAAGAGTTGAGGCCGATATGCTCACTTCTTATTTGTATTGCAATACTACTTTGGGCCCTGCTCAGGTTTCGGTGGATGTTAGAGGGTGTGTTTCTGTAGTTGATTCTTTTTCTACCTGTTCTCTTGTCGTTGCTTATACTTGCTGCTGTCCAATGTTCTGGGTCTGCTGACGCCTGATGAGAAGATAGCCGTTCTACCTTTAAAGTATTCCATGCGGCTTCCCAGTCCTGGAACGCTCCTATCTTGCCCGCTTCTTTTTGTCTACGCCTCACTTTTTCGTTCCCGCAGATTTTATTCCACTCGCTAGTGTCTCGGCTTCGATTTTTTGTGTGGCATTTAGAATTGGTTATTAGTACCTCGCAATCGAAAACACATGCTTAACTTAAACAACGGAAGGCAATATTGAACACCTGTACGCGGTGTACTCTTCGAACTTAGGAGTGAAATATTTTCCCAGAGCCAAGTTCAGTCAAATTTCGCAATACTCAAGAAGTTGGCCCATGAGACAACGATTCAAATTACCCTACCACGTCGTCTTTTCACTCCCAACGAGTTTGACTCCTACCTTAGTCTTATCAAATCTACAAGTACGACCTAGTACATCCTCATTCCAATGACCACACCTCTCGTCGACTATTCTCTGGCTAAAGCTGGCCACCAAATACACGCCCACGCCGATGTTTATACCCGACGGAGGAAGCAAAGCGTGGCGCACAAATCTGGGAGACAGTTCTTCGGGGTGGACGTGAGAGGGGTCAGGGCAAGTTGACAAGATGATTCAAAGGAAGGATACAATCTCGACGGGCTTCTGAATTTGAATGTTGGAAAGGAGATTCACGAATTGGGCTTTATTCGCGCCAAGGCTTTGATTGCGAGAATGAAATTAGCAATACAAACCCAAGTCAACGTTGGAGGGTGCCGTTGTCCGCCTCCTGACGGTGTTCTCTGGTATAGTCTGAGTAGCCTGGGCACCTACTCCATTCGGAAATGAAACACCTCAGACCATATTTCGCGCGGAGAAAAGAAAATGGATGATGGAAGCAGGTCTGGATGACTCAGGGTTTTTGAATCGTTTTCCTGGGTGGGTATTCTCGGATGAAGGTTGATTTGGGATGAAGAAAAAGCCACCATAACTTCGTACAGGTACTTGCGAATGAAATCCGAGGCATGAGTGGTCAACTTTTAAATTGAGTCATCTGTCATGTACTTTTCTTTGATATTGTGTCATAGCTAGATAGCTGCATACGCAAATAAAATTTAATGCAAAAAATTATACGTACCATCATCCACTTCACAGTATGACCCCCGCATAGCTTATAATCATAAGAGTGACCACTAGTATTCACTCGAACCTTTAGTCTATCTAGAGGCTTCTAGTACGTATATTTTAAACCTTCAACTCATTTAAGTCATCTCAAAGATACCTTCGGTCTTCGTTCGCACTCCATCCAACCTCTTCTATGTTTTAATACCGCTTCAGCCTACCTGACTTCGCTCCATTCGAGACTAGAAACACCCGAGCATCATTGCCAAGCTATAGTAACTATAGGAATGAAAGAATGGATCTTAAAACGAGCCTTAACGGGAACCAATCCAGCCTTAAACTATTATTGAGCACAAAGATTGTGATTAAAAAACCTTGATTATATCATGAAAATAAATATATCAACAAGGAGGTAGCCTTTGGAGAGGGTGGAAGTTGGAGAAACAGCATAAATAGATGTATCAGATAAAATGTGAAGAAAGAGGGGGGATAAGTAGAATATTAATTTAGGATAAAACCCTCAGTCTCTATTGCAAAAAATTGAAAGTAGACCACACATAAAAAACAAGTGAATTTTCGTACTGTATTATCTGGTTTTAGCAGTCCTTCATAGTCATAGAATGAATAATGAGTTAAGTTTATTCGCGACGGGCACAAGCCCTGCACTCAAAGAGCATGACACAGAGAAGACTAGCTTCCCAGACGACTATATACGACAATAACTCAGTTTGACATATAGACTACTCAGGTAATGGGTGCATTCGCTGATATCACTCAAGGCCTTATCGTTTGGGAGTTTCACCCTTCACTCAATCGTTAGTATCCACCAAAGGGAAAGTAGGAAAAACCTTTGGCTACCCTAACGTGCCTTTGTCATCTTTTATTTATATAATTCAATATCCTGATTTGGCGCCTTGAGGCCTATGCAGATTTTTATCGGAAGATAGATACTTGAAGTAGGATGACTCAATTTGACCTTTAGAACACTCACACTCAGATTTCATTTGCAGATACCACTCGAGGTTAACCCTCACGGCATATAACCTCTTCCGTGCATACCCACCACAGGAAAAGAGTGAAAACCCTGCGGCAATCTGAGTGTGCTTATCATCCTACAAGTACAATATCACCGCGAGAGAGTGTGTGTGTGGGTCTGACTGGATTCGAACCAGCTTTCTCCTGTCTGGAATGAGGTTGGTGTTCAAGCTACCCAGTATCTACTTGGGAGAACAGCCCGAATGGTGTACCACTGCACCACCCAACCTGTCATCTTGTACATAGCCACCGCGCGAGATATGGCCTCACAATCCTCCCTCTCTCGAGTCAGGTAGGTGTCCACGCTACCCAGACTTTAATTCGGGGAGATGACGACCAGGAGGCGGTTCAAAACAACTTCCATCGTTGCCTGTTTTTAGAGTGTCAGTTGCACTATCCGAAATTTTTTCCTCTACGCCTATAGACACTCGTAAGTTGAAAACTATTAGAAGCGTTTCCCACAGCATGTCTATTGTTGACTTCTCTCTCTCTCCCCTTCCCGGATGCCTATCCTCCCTCAAGAGATAAAGCCTCATCAGGGCAGCGGTCTCCTGTAAGCCAAAACCCTATGCCGACCTCGAAGTTTGGATGCGGCTCGGGATATCGCTAGAACTAGTACTCTCATTAGCAGTCAACGCTCGCCTCATCACTGCTCGAATCGGACATGATAACTTCGCCGCATAGAACCATCGCTTATATCATACGACGGCCACACTTCACAGCGAATCTGGCAGAGAAAACTTATTAGAGCGCATTGCTTAGTATAGACTTTAATTAAGTTGGAGTCTCTGAGCCATTAAATATGCAGGACAACTAAAAGCTATTCAAAGGCTAATTAATATTTATTTGTCTTTATTTCTTCTTTATTTTCAATATTTTCCAGTTGAAAATGAGGATATTTTCCTACCACTCAAAGAAGAAAATCATAGGAGATATGGCGACTGAAAAGTGGAGGTGGAGGGCGCCGGCTCTGGAACCCCGTTCGGATCAAGCGGACGGCGTCTGTTGAGGAAGTACGACAAGGCAAGCGAAAAACATGCGGTGTCTAGTTAGGGGAGAGTTGGGTGACGTGCGACCGGGAGGACATTACTTGATAGCCAAGGTAGTTTTATCGAAAAGGTAAGAGCATACAGATGGTTTATTGGCAGAAAGTTTAGGGACGATAAACGATAAATCAAGATGAACTGCTGATAATTTGATATTCAGAACTATGAGTATTCAAGGGGTAGAAAACGCTACTTACATAAACACCTAAGGTAACTAGACTCTCGCCTTGTTTTCTCAAAATAGTTTCACGGAATATTCTAGGATTCCCCATTTGGTAGTATAGATTATAACCACTTCCCACACAGAACTCCATTATTCACCTACTGATTATGGGATGACCTGTTAAGATTTTCCTTCACTCCCAGTGATTATTACCTTTGCGCATCCTTATCTAGGCTATCACCAGCATAATAGATATTAGGTTGAATCGTCCAGTTCCACCGTGATTGAAATCCTGGCGGTCAGCTTTACGATATAGAAGCAAGGTAAGATACTGATAGTCTGGAAATGGCAGGAACCTTCTAATCTCCTCATCACGCCGAATCCATCCACTCATCAAAGTGAAGCACGTAGAGCGTTCCTCCGTCAATGTGAATTTCGGATAGGCGAACGTTTGATTCATGAATAGAAGTATATTAAACTAAGCAGTATCGTGGTGATAGTCATGAATTGTGCTTCATTTTATCTTTAAGTATTTTTATGCGCGGGTTAATAGGTCAAGACTCAGCTGATAACAAGAGGTTCATTCTTCATAGTGTTGACCAGGATATGGCATCGTGTGCGTGTATGTGCGATCTTTCTGTGACGATTAACTCTAATTGAAAATCCCCAACAGTAAAAGCGCGTCATGGAGGTCATGAATCACAGTAAGCCTGAGCTATATTCTTGATCATACATAAACTAGATGTACATACATTTTATACTAAGTTATCTCAATCGCTATTCGATTAAATTAGATTGCTTTTGATATTATATTTTGAGGTTCCAGTATCCTCAATAACTTCCAGCTGGAAGTGAAACTTTTTTAATCAATCTCGTCGAGAGAGATTGAACCTTTCTGAAGGACAAGAGTAATTTACACAATCATATTGCCCACAGGACACTCATAGAAGCGAGACAAAATGACATATTACTGGGGAGAAGCGTGTATGTCTTCGTAATTTACAGCACTATCTTATACTGTTTTTTGAATATAGGGTTTCCTAAGTTTTAGCTACTTACAGCGTAGTTTGAGTGCGATCATGTGGCAATGATGTGATTCTCCGATTCTTCAATACGTTCTCGATGAAAGCTTCCCCAGCTTTGTATGAGCTCCGCACTAGTGGACCACTAGCACAGTACAGAAAGCCCAAATCTAGAGAACGTTGTCGCCATGATTCAAATACCTGTGGGGTCACGTATTCTTCAACTTTCATGTGGCGTTTGGTTGGACGCATATATTGACCAAAAGTAACAACATCGACTTTGACCTTGCGAAGTTCTAAATAAGTGAGTAAATGCTTGCGAATTTTTGAATTTGACAAACCTCTTAGAGTTTCCCAAATTTGCTCTTCAGTTTCCCCAAGGCCAAGCATAATACTTGTTTTGGTAATCAGAGTGGGGACAGCCCGTTTCGCCGAGTCTAGTACAGTGAGACTCTGTTTGAAGGTAGCCCTTCGATCTCTAACAAAAGGTGTGAGAGCCTCCACAGTTTCGACGTTGTGAGCATATACATCAAGCCCGCTTTTTGCAACGACCTTGACCATATCTAGATCACCCGCAAAATCACCTGTTAGGGCTTCGACCAGTATATTCTGGTTCTTCTGCTTTATTTTCATGATGGTCTCAGCAAAGTGATGCGCACCCCCGTCCTTAAGGTCATCCCGATCAACTGATGTCAAGACCACATACCCAAGGCCCCAACGTCTTAAGGCCTCAGCCGTATGCTCGGGTTCGTGTGGATCTAGGGGCGGGGGTGCTTTGGAGGTCTTGACACTACAAAATCGACAGCCACGAGTACAAGTGTCACCCATGAGCATTATCGTAGCCGTAGCTGCACTTTTATCACTACCGCCCCAGCAGTCAGAGATATTAGGGCAGCGAGCCTCTTCGCACACTGTATGTAGGTTTAGTCCTCGCAAGTCATTCTTTATCTTCTTATAATTTGAGTTATTTGGAATTGGAGTCTTTAGCCATTCAGGGAGTCGAGTTATTTGTCTCTGCTTCCCGGGCGGACCAACAAAGGCTGTTCGTAGTTTGAATACATCAGTCGGTTCAAGTGATTTGTTGTCAACCCCCATAAATTCGGAGAATGACGGTACACTATTTAGACTGTCTTTAAAATAAGTTGGGCGCTGTTTTTCAAGAGGCTCTAATTTTGTATCTGTCGAAACAGAGCGTGAGGGAGATAGCTTGAAGAGCGAGTGTCTTGAATTGCGACGACATGCTACTAATAAAGAGTACGTCCTAGTGTTAGATGCCATTTTTTCGTTAGTGACTTGGTGTACAGAAATTATTTATAAGTTTCCAAATGGCTCGATTCAGTGAGATTTAGTGCTAGAGCTAGCTTTCTGGCTCATAAATCATTTTTCTCTCTTAAATGGAGGGTTACATAAGTGGATCCGGCTAAGCTGTCGCGATAGAGATGGTGAATAATAGTAGACTGAAAATAGTCGCCTAGATAGGTACTTATATTGGATTGTACTTTCTGGCAACAACCTGATGGACTGACCGTAGTCGAATAGTTCACGTTGGTCAGTGTTTTTAGCTACTAACGACCTTATCAGGAGTATGCTCTCGGGGGCCACAGCACGGACGTTAGATGGGAATTCATAAAAGTTCATTGAATTATCCAGATTTGGCGCTGTAAAGCCCATGCAGGGGGGAACTATTCTTATCATCTGTCAGTGGTGTCGCCTACGAAACCCCAGCTATTTCTAAAGATTCTGCAGAGGTCAAAAAGAGCAAAACCTTTTCAACTTTGAGCTGAGTTATCTCCCCCTCCGTCAAAGATATGCTTCCGATAACACATAAGACGACCAAGACGATGATGATGCTGGGAATGAGGAGAGATAATGCGGTACCAAACGCTACAACGGTAGTCAGAGAAGCCCTCGTTATATCACAACATGTGCTACCCACCGGCGGGCGAACAAAAAGCCCACGAAAGCAAAGTAAAAGACCCTTCCGCCCTCAAGAAAAGCAGATTTCGACTCGTCTATATTATCGTCCCTTTTGATCTTAACTTAAGAGCATACTAGCCAGGAGGACGTCTAAAATACATGAGTTACTCGACAACCCCACGTCCATAACGACTTTTGGATGCTAGGCTAGTCTCTTTCACCAGAGTCACTCTCGACCAAGACTTTTCTGACATCCTTTCACGACCTTCGATTTGTCCTACGGCACGAATCAATTGAGGAGTAAAGAGGGGGCTATGAAGGTTGAGAGATGTTCTCAGGTACACACAGGTCTACATAAGTCTACTGCGCTCGGCTGGCCGGCCTCTTCGTTATAGGAGAGCCCCATACCCAGTGGTTTTTGAGACTTTTCCCTGCAGCTACAAACCCGCAAATGATTATGGTTTCGTTGGCTGGAGAGGAGAGGTAATGATGGGATAACGGCTCCTCTTAGTGTGTACTCGAACGAAGACCTGTGAGGGTGTGTGTGTTGTTTATTGTACTACATGAGTCTATGACTATCTAGCACATTGGGCTCCTCTCTGACCCAGGCCACACCTTGTAAAGTGCTCCTCGCCTCATGTTTCTTGAAAGATCATTGATGTGTTGCCCGTGATGAATGGCCTTTCAGCTCAGTGTTTACCCGTGGAATTCGGCCACCTTTTAGACCTGTGGGGGTATTTCTCAGGGAGCTTACTACTAACTTTCCGTGGGGCACGAAGGTATATTGAGTATGATTATTGTCAGGGGAAGGTCATGAAGTAGATTGACGAGGTCTAATCTGGTGATTGAGATTGTCTACAAAGAAGAAAGGTGACTCCTATTGAGTCCTGTAAAAATATATACATCGTGAATCGCGTATCAGACGCGTTATATCATGTGACAACAACTTCCCTCAATTCACTCTATCCCTTGACAATTATAGGATAGCAGTGAAATGGTCTTATGTAAGGAAGAGAGATGTGAGGTGGTACAATATGTGTACAAAATGTAAGAAGACGTTGCTTAAAGGGAGAACTCTCTCACGCCTACCAGACTATGTACAGGACATTACCACTAGCGCTTCAGCATAGGAGACGATGTGGTGACTACTTGTTTACCACCAGACCACCTTTACCTTTCGAGCGGTCTACGCTCGCTTAATAGCCGCTCGAACCGGACATGGAGACTTCGCGGCTTATCATCGCCGCTTCAACCACACTGACGCCAAACTCTACTGCGAGCGCGGGAGGGAAAAATTTATTGGTCACCTTCTCCAGTGTCGAAAGGCACTGGCAATATGGCGGCTGAAAAGCGGAAAGCGAAGGGCACCAGCTATAGAAACAATGCTCGGATCAAATGGATGGCAGCTGTTCAGGGATTACGTCCAAGAGAGCGGGATTTATGCGGAGGCTAGTCGGGGGATGGCAGGGATACCTGTGACTCGGAGGTGATAGAACGAAAGCCTGGGTGGTTTGGCATGTAAAGAGAGATTGGAATCGAGGCTCGGGCGCGTGGTGGCTGAGGTGGAACGATGGAAAGGGGATTGGTTAAGTTTTTCTTTTGTAATGCGGGATTTCGCGTGAAAGTTTTTGTTTATTTTCAATTCTGGGCTGCTGAATTCGCCATGATTCAACACATAGATGCATTTTGGCATGGTTCCGGTCATTTAGGGGGGGTTTTTTTTTTATAAATTTTAGGTCCTAAGCTATGCTCTATATCTCCTAGGAGTCAAGGACCGGTGTACACGGCCAAGATCATGCTTCCCACATGCCCGACTCGGTTTCACTGCGTGACCCACTACACAACAAGTAGCTAGTTATAAGAAAGAATATAAATGCTCCCACAGACTCCCATAACCAAAATTCCAAATCCAATACTCCAATTTGAGGTGGGAAAGCGACACTCCTCGTCTCGTTTTCCTTCCTGTCATGCTTCGTGCTATGACCTAGTTAATGTTGTCTCCGCTGAGAGCTGGTGACGGTCTTGCAGGTGAGCCGCCGAAGCAGCCGGTTTCCTGCGCAAAATTTGTAAAATCCTCAAGGCACTTAGGCCCGAGAAGCTTTTGGACAAAGTCGTGATGTGACATTGTCCCTCGGAGTCGACGCATCTGACGTTCGTGCAGTCGACAGTGAATGAAGTGGAGAGGTGATGTTTCCTCTCCACACGCACACTCCATGGAAGCGGTGAAGTTGTTGAAATGACGGTGACATGCAGCCAAGTTTCCGTGTCCCGTTCGGGCTGAGATCAGTTCACGGAGTAACTGCCGAGAAAGCGCCTGCTCCTGTGGCTTGCGTCGTCGCATGAGTAAACCCAGATTTCGATACCTAGGTGGACATGCTTCCTCCCACCATTCCTCGAGAAGAGCTTGTCGTTTCTGGTTCATCAGACGACGAACGTACGCCAAAGTGACTGAGCCAGGCTGGCTCTCTTTACTTGGAAGTTGTCGGAGGCCGGAGCGTGCAACTCTATCAGCCTCTTCGTTTCCCTGTATCCCAGAGTGGGCTGGTATCCACTTAACCGAGACTCGAGCCTTTTCTGATTGCGCCCTAAATTGGCGTACATCGTCGAGACTTGTTGTGGCGGTTCCCGTCAGCAGTGCCTTCACTGCAGACTGACTATCCGTCAACACGTTGATCCACTGCCTGCCGTTACTTCTCCTGTTCACTCTCTCCAACAATCCTAGCGCAGCTTCCAGGGCCTTCCTCGCCCCTAGTATTTCCAAATCGAGCACTTCACCACCATGCTTGATACCACATCCCTTCAACAGAGTCTTTCCATCCCTCTTCAAGACGAGCCTCCATGCTGAGCGACCATGTCCCTCCGACGATCCATCCGGGTAGGCACAGATATCCGATGGCAATACACCTCTAAGGAACCGAGTTACCTTGTCCTCCTCTTCCATCCTTGGGCCGAAATTCGACAGATAGCATGGCAGCGGCAGAGGCTTAGCGTCTTCCGCGTCCGGGAGTTGTCGATAGGTCCGCTGCACTCTTGACATCTGGATCTCCGGATTCTTGGGTGCCCGAGCATTTTTCTTGTACTTCCTTGTTCCATTGTTTGGACACACGGCAGCACGAGTCCGGAGCGAGTGGCGGTTGTCCAGTAAGTGGAGCCGAGCCGAAAGCTGTAGTCGGTTCCCTTCCAGAATGATCTTTCCAGTTGGGATACCTCCTTCTCGGTGGAGAACAAGATTCGGTGTAGTTCTCATTACCGGAAGGGCAGCGCGCAGTCCCGTCAAGATTGCCTTGTCGATCATCTCGCAGAAGATGCTTGTTCGAGGTGTGATGATTCCCCTAATGGTCGGACGTTTGAGGCCGGGCCACCAAACATCTGATCCAAAAGTTGCTATTGGGACAATACAAGTATCCACTGCTCGAACCAGTGCCGCAGGAGCGGCTCCTCGATACGCTGAGTTGAAACGGCGCATGTGCTGGGCAACCTTCAACACCTTTCCACACTAAGTTGTGACATGGTGTTTAAAGTCTAGTGGCGGGTCTAGATGTACACCAAGCCAGCGTATTTGGTCTGCTGGCTCGATAGTCATGCCGTTTACACGAATAGCCATCGGATTCTCGCGTTTCCTGCCGGGAAACTGGACTATCTCCGACTTGTTGGTATCGAAGGAGACTGCGTTGTTACTTGCCCACTCCAGAAGATGATCGACTTCCTTCTGTACAGAAGCGGCCGACTAGGCAATGCTGCGCCCAAACCCTAGGATCTCGACATCGTCTGCGTAGCTGAACCTCATTCCTGGGTTGTGTTGTGCTGGTGATGCCTAGGATTACGATGCACAAGGGTAATGATCACTGAGGGTGAAGGAAGAACTTTCCAGGTGGCTCCATGATGAGTAGAGGAACAATAGAGCACTGTATAGAAAGTATTTCTAGATTGTACTGCCAGATGGAGGAGACTAGAATATTCCGTGATACTATTTTGGGTAAATGAGGCGAGAGTCAAGCCACCTCAGATGTGTATATAATTAGCGCTTTAAACCTCCTAAATCCTCATATTTCTGAATATCAAGAATATCAGCAGTTCATATTGATTCATTGACAATCATCCGTAAACCTTCTGCCAATTAACCTCCGTAAGCTCTTACCTTTACAACAGGTTGCCGCTTCGCATAGGCTCTGCCATGTATAGAAGGAAGAGAAGTGGCAATATCGGTGATCCCTGCGGAACCCCACAAGCCAGCTCTCTCTGCCCAGTAACCCCTCCGGAGTATCGGACTTGTACCTTTCGGTGTGCAAGAAAAGACGCCGTCCACCGGAGAATTGAGTCCGGCCATCCTTGATCTCGCATCCTCCTCACCAAACGGTTGT